TGTTGTTTTAAAATTAGAATTTAAAGTTATAGATTGGTAGACGTACATCAGTGGTGTTCCAAAATTTTTTCCTTTTAATCCCTCGTTAAACTTTCTAAAAAATTCATTTAAATTCATGTTACCCCCCCCCCCCTTTAACAAACTAAAATGCTTCAAGGTGAGAATACATGTAATTATCTGTTATTTTACCCAATTCCTCTTGTTACGGCTTGTTAAGGGTCTCAAAACGGACTAAGCAATTTTCTGTAGACGTTCGATCTCTTCAGAATACGCGCTTTCAAGTGAAGAATAACTATATGTTATATATTTCTTAAACGTTGCAAGACGATCATCTCAGGGATCGTTTTGAAATATCCATTCACTCCCCCCTCCTTGATTATCTCTGATACAATACTTGCCTCGAGAACAGAAAGTTTAAAACCAGTCAGTTGGTGGATTAACAATACTTTGAATCGCAATTCTAGAAAAAAAAAAAAACAGCCCCGTGGATAGTTAGTTGCTGCGAGCAAACAGGAGAGGTAAGGTTAAAATATTTTAAAATTTAAACTTGGCTCCGAAACCAAAGTAAATCCAGTCTTCCTTCTTGACCTCCGTTGGTTAGCACTATATGGGGATTTTACATTAAACCATCATAATCACGCAGTTTGCAAGTATAACAAAGTAAGTAGTTGATAAATGCTGTACTGTAACTGTGGTGTAAGGACTGTAAAGTAAGGAATGTAACGCAATTGTATGCAGGATGTTTCGTGTAACTATTACTGATGTAGGGAATGTAAGCATTGTATTGTAAGTATTTTGCATTGTAAGTAGTTTTTTTGGTCTGTTAGTGTGGAGATAAATTAAATTTAAAAAAAGATCAAATTTTCAACTCCAAGGACAAAACTTTAGATTAAAGCGAAAACCTAATAAGATACTCAAGTTATCATTGTTATAAAAATGCTGAAGTAAAAATCCTATTTATTTATTTATTCATTTATTAAGTTGCTAATGCTAGCGCTCATCAGTGCGTAAATACTTAAATGAATGACAATTTTCGGACTACTAGAGTCTCATGCGACTATTTGCCTAAGCTGGTTTTGGTTATTTTGTTAAGAGCCCATAATACTTTCTCATTCGTTTTGGTTGAAAAACTTAAGAACTGTTTGAGCATTTGTCACTGCGACAATTATTTATTTATTCATTTATGTTTTCCATGCAATGTGTTTGAATGGTGCTTTGTCGATGTGAATGAAATCACTGTAGAAACTCCACAGAATCAACTGTTTTACAGAGTTTAAGATATAAAAAATAGACGAAAAAGAAAAAGCTACAACCAAACATGTTAAGGTATCAAAATGGTTCCTTTAATTACATTGGCCAGTAACGAGATCTAGGATAAAGAGCAAACTCGTTATACTTATTCGTAGATCATAGCTATTTTGGAGACACTAGGTTGAGACTATTAAGTAAGCTTTAAAATCAGCTAACTGTTATTAGCATTAATGTAAAGCCGTAGCAATTTTACACTGCCACCAGATTACAATTGTCTTATATAGAGTTTAAGATGAGCATAATCGGTATCACCCATACTTTAACTTTAATGTTTTGTCAACTGTTAAGCCTAGCTTGTTATCGATTGTGATTCCCAGGATTACGTTTGGTTTGCGTTCCCGATAAGAATTTTGTTCCAGCCATCTTCAGCTTTCGATCGAAACGGTTGACCACTGTTAAGCCCTGACGTGGCCTTTTAGATCCACCGATTTCGGTTGGTTGGTATGCCTGAGGTTTTTGTTTTTCACATTTTAGGCGGTAACATCGATTTCTGTTGCCTGACAGAATGGCTCAAGTTGGATATTGTTGAGCCCTTTGAAACGAGAATGATTAGTAATGTGTGTCTGTATTTCAAACAAACTAAGAACGTCTGTTTCTAAATATCGAGAATAAGGCAACCGGATCGAAAATTCGAATTTTCTGTTATGTCATCAAAAAGATCGTTTTAGTGAACTATGTTCAAATTTATCTGACACCTTAGAAATTTACACTGTTTGTAATTTATGCTTGGATCGTTTCTCGTCATCTTGAAGTAAAAAATGTTTTGTCTACTTTTGAGTCCTTTGAAAATTACTTCTATCGCAATTTAATTTATCTACGGATTTGATAGGCCAAAACTCAAACCCAAACAGTTGTTCTTAACAAAAAAAAAATTCCTTTCCTGTGGCCGGATTCTCCATACTTACAGACACATGCTCGTAAACTTGATAGTACTAAAGTTGTAAACTCCGTTGTCCCGAGTATGGAACACAGAAAAACCTATCTGACTCTAAAACGAGATTCACACGTATTACCATCTGTACATCTGAGGGATTCTCTGAACACTAAGCCACTGAGAGAACCCAGGCAAGCTAGGTTATTTAGAAGTCGACCTTTTCAATACGTCTTATGCATGCTGAAACTACCAGCTTAAGAGTGCCTGCCTGTAAAAATCAGACAAATTCTTAATTTCGCGGCAAGGGTCGAAAATTCGATTTCGCTCATATTCTTATGGTAGATAGGCTA